CGAGACTGCGGCGCCGGCGCCCGCGGCCGCGCGCGGGAGGACGGGCACGAGGCGCACGGCGCTGGCGGCGTGGCCGAGCCAGATGGGCCCGAACTCGGGCCACGGAGCGCCGCCTCGGCCGCGCCGCCCGCCCGTCCGGCGTCCAAGGCACTCGTCGGTCGTGCGTCGCGCCGTGCGTCGCGCCCTGCGCTCTCCGGCTGCCCCGTCCGCCCTCCGCGCCCCCTCCCCGCTGTTCCTCCTCCTCCTCCTCCTCATCCTTCTCCTCTCCTCCTCCTCCTCCCTCCTCTCCTGCTCCTCCTCCCTCCTCCCCATCCTCCTTCCTCCCCTCCTCCATGTACCTTCTCCTCCCTCCCATGCCTCGATGCTTCCACGTCGCTCCCTCCTTCTCCCCAATAGAACAATATGAATACTACTCTCCTCTCTCCCCTGGTGGCGTCCGGGAAATGGCCGGCCCCCCCTCCGCGTACTGTTTTTTTTAACCTGATTTCCCGGAAACGGTTTTCGCGTGGTTTTTGTTTCGAAATGCTGCTCACGCTGAAGTGCTGGCCTCATTTTCGGGCTACCGCTCATTCCGAATCGTGCTCCCGCTGCAGCGCTGGCCTCATTTCCGCGCTTCAGGTCGTTCCGAATCGTGCTCCCGCTGCAGCGCTGGCGTCATTATTTACAGTGCCATGCCACCGCATGGTTTTCGGTCCTTCCAAATCGGCTCCAAAATCAAACAAAAATGTCTTCCGAAGAAACCATCGGAAGTGATTACACATTCGGTGCCTATTCTTTGATTAGTTGGGCCGCAGAGGCCCACCCCCTCATTTTGGGGCGTCGCCACGGCATGCTATGTCATGCTACGCGTTAATCTTCAACACCATGCTATGCCATGTAATGCTACGCCATGCTGCGACATCCGATTGTGCGAATAAGGAAGAGATCTGAGCCATGGCAAAGGATTGGAGGGAGGGGTAGGACGTCAGATATGACGCGAGCGCACCTAGCTTGTCCTCCTCCTCCTCCTCCTCCTCCTCCTCCTCCTCCTCCTCCTACTCTTCCTCCTCCTCGCATCCTCGTCTGTGGCTGCCATGCTTGTAAACGTGCCACACACCTTTCAGCCCCACGCGCCTTCAACGCGACGGCGACCAGGGAAACATACAGATTCAAGTCGGATCCGCCGAGAGCTATGACCGAAAGCTCTGAGCACGGCCGAGCAGGAAAGCAGGCAAGGCGCCCAGCGGAAACCCCTTCCCCCTCTTCAACCCCGTTTCTGCAATGTGTGAACTGACGTTCTCACTCTCATTCTCCTCCTCCCTGCTCCTCCCTCCTCCTCCTCCTCTTCCTCCTCCTCCCTGTCCTCCTCCCTGTCCTCCCTCCTCCTCCTCCTCCTCCTCCTCCTCCCTCCTCCCTCCTCCCTCCTCCCTCCTCCTCCTCCCTCCTCGCTCCTCCCTCCTCCCTCCTCCCTCCTCCCTCTCCTCCTCCCTCCTCCCTCCTCCCTCCTCCTCCTTCTCCTCCTCCTTCTCCTCCTCCTCCTCCTCCTCCTCCTCCTCATCGTCACTGGAAGTGCGAGAAAGGCGATTGCGGGAGCCTCAACTTAGCTACAATGCAGGAGCCAGATCGTGAGAGAAGGTCGTCAGCTGGAGTGGCGGGGCCAGCTCATGCGAGAAGGCTGCGGGACCAGCACAACCAACCAGAGTTCCCCGCGGGGGTCGGCGCGTGGGAGGTGCCGAGAGCTCGTGCGCCAAACGGTAGGGGGGCTCTGGCCTGGTGCGGCAGGGCCGAGACCCAGCGTCATTGAGCTGCTGCGTCACTCGTATCCTCAGCTTCGGTGCTGGAGCTGTTTCGCGCGAGAGAAGGGCAACAAGTTCGGCCGCGTTTCGTGGGCCCCATGGGGCGGACCGGCGGCGGCTCTCGGCCCCCTGGCGCGCTCGGGGCTTCGCTCCCGAGCAACCCCGTTTGATGCGCTGTCCTCCTGCTGCGCTACCCCCCCCCCCCTTCTCCCTCCTCCCCCTCCTCCCTCCGGCTGCACGCAGGAGTGACCCTGGGCAAGAGCGACCTCTGGTGCGCAGCCGTCGGGGGCCGCGGGGGGGGGAGGGGGGCCAGATCCAAGAGCGCAGGCCAGCGTTGGGGGAATGCCTGCGGGCCCGCACCCGAGGGGCACCCTGACCGAGCGCCACTCTGACGCGCAGCCGATCCCGGGGAGTGGCGGAAGGCGGATCGCACCGGCGGCCGCAGCGAGGCCGAGCCCGCCCCCCCCCCCCGCGCGCGCGCGGCCCGAGCGCGCCGCGCATGGCGACCCCCGCGCGCACGGCGTACTTCTTCGCGCCGCCCTCGGCCGGCAGTCCCGCGAACATGGCGGGCAGCTCCGCCCCTGGAGGGTTATATATATATATACAGATACATATATATATATATATATATATATATATATACAAGACTGCAGTGGCGCTTCGCGCCATGCACCTTGGTCCTTGAAGTTTGGTATGCAGGCGGAATAGCAGGAAGGTCAAGCCGACAATTTAGCGATAACTCCTGGTTGCCTTTTCTGGCATCGCCGCTGTAATAATGTTATTCGTTATCCTTCCTCCATGTTTCTTTTTCCTTTTTTTTCGCCATGCCCTGCGCATTCTCCCCATCCTCCTCAGCTCTTTTTTGCGGAGGCTCCTCCTTGGAGAGCCTCTAGGGGCCTCACAAAAGTTGTTTCAAGCTTTCTTCAGGCCTTCTGGAGACCTCCTGGGCGTATTCTGGGGGCCTCCGGGGGCTTCCTCGGGCCACCCTGCCTCCAACCGCGGTCCCCCTGAACGACCGAATCACGATTTGGAATTCTTCGGAGGGTGTCTTTGGCCATCTTGGGCCGCCATGGGGCTCTCTGAGGGCCATCTTGGACCCGTGTTGTGCCGTTTTGGGGCTCTCTTGGACTGCCTGGAAACCCTTTCAGATGGTTGTGGGGCGGTTGTGGAGCCTCCCAGGCGGCTTCGGACGCCTAGAAGACCGCCGTCTTGGAGCGTCGGGAAGCCGAAAAGAGGAAAACCCTAAAATTCACCAAAAACCAATCGAAAATCAATGATTTTTGCCTCAGGGGGCCTTCTTGAGAGTGCTCTTGGAGGCCTCTTTGGGGCCGTCCTGGACGCCTCTTGGGCCATCTTGAGGTCACGTCGGTCACTCTTGGAGCGCTCTTGTGCTGTCTTGGGGGTCTCTGGGACGTCTCCGATGACCCCCCTGATCGCCCTAGGTGTTCTGGGAAGGCTTGGCAAAGCGCCGTGTGAGGCCCGGGGGCCGCTTCGAGGCCCGTCTGGAAGGTCCCAAAACCCCAGATCCCGGGAGTCCGTTTTTTTTTTGGGGGGGGGGGTGATGGGTTTCCCCCCCGCCCGGGCTTATAAACATATAGGAAGAGGAATACGTGTATATATCTGTATATATATATATACATACGTATATATATATATATATATATATATATATATATATATATGTGTGTATGTCTATTTCATTCGATTCGGGCGTCGTATTTTTTACACCGCGCGTTGTCGCTTGGCTTCGGACCCCCAGACCATCCCATGCCGATCTGGGTCTGGACATGCAACAAGAAGATGGGTTCCAGGGCTCACCGTGACTTTTCATGATGCTGCTATTGTTTTGCAGCGTAGGATCTCAAATACCCTTGTCTGACTCCCTCCTCTTGGGGGTCCCCAAATGGTGTGGTGACAAACCGTACGGTGGGTGACCTCGGAGCCCTCAAAAACCTCGCCGCACGGTCCGCCACCTCACGGTTTTGGGACCTCCGAGGCCCCAGTCGCCCGAGACGTCCTCGGAAAACGACCCAAGTCCCAGAACTGTACGGCGACCCCGATTCACGGACTCACCCACCACACGGTGTGGCCACCGCGCCGTTTGAGGGCCCCCGATCCTCCCTCCCTCATTGCTTGTCCTCACCTGCTCCTCGTTTTCTCTCCTTCCCTCCTCCCTCAGCCCCTCCTTCCCTCTCCTCCTCGCCCCTCCTCCTCACGCATTACCTCCCTCTCCTCCTTGTCTTTTCCTGTTCCTCGTTTGTGTTCCTTCCATCCTCCTTCAGCCCCTCCTTACTCCTCCTCTCTCCTCCTCCTCACGCACCACCTCCCTCCCCTCTTCGTCCTCCTCGTCCTTTTCTGTTCCTCGCTTCCTCACCTTCCCTCCTCCCTCAGCCCCTCCTTCCTCCTCCTCCTCCTCCTCCTCTCCTCTTCCTGCCCCGCCTCCTTTCTCTGCACCCCCCGCACTGCCTGCCCCCCCGCCCCCCGCGCGCGGGGGTCGTCGCGGGGGGGGCGGAAAGACGGGGGAAGGGGTGGAAGAGAAAGGAGGCGGAGATCGATGAGGACGGAGGAGGGGGGAGGGGGGAGGGAGGAGAGAGGAGTGAGGGAGGGCGGGGGGAATGAAAGGATGAGGAGGGGGGGAGGAGGAGGAGGAGGAGGAGAGGAGGAGGAGAGGAGGAGGAGGAGGAGAGGAGGAGGAGGAGGAGGAGGAGGAGGAAGGAGGAGGAGGAGGGAGGAGGTGGAGGAGGAGGAGGAGGAGGAGGAGGAAGACGAGGAACTATGGAAGCTTGACGGGAGAAGACATGGCGGCAATAACATGTAAAGCTGCCGGCTTCTCAACTCATCCAGACTGTTTGGACGCGCCGGCGCTGAAGCAAGCGGCGGCAGAGCATCCTATATGAGTCGTGATTGCGCGGGCGATCGATCCGCTCTGGAAGAAACGCGGGAACGGAGAGAGGATAACCAGGACCGTCCAATCCCAAGCTCATTCACAACCAAGCAGGGATACCCTATCGTTCTGTGGCCTGTCGGCTCGTCACGGTGGGAGGCGAACTCGCCAACTGTCGGGGCTCGCTCGTGATCTTCGGGGCGGCGCCAGATGAGGTCACACGAGTAGAATTGGTGTGACTTCTACCATGTCGCGCCTGCGTATGATTACGTACGTCAATCCTGGGCTGCAGACACAATGTCTGAAAACCTTTCATTGATGTCAGCCGAGGTGGGTGGTCGGGGGTCACGTGGGGGGACGAAGTTGTACTGCGACGAAACCATTGTCCAGGTAGGCGTTGGACAAATGAGAGAAGGAGGATGGCCGTGAGGGATGTGCGTCTTTTTTGGACGATCGCCTCGAGCTCACTGTGGTCGATATGGCCCAGATCGCATCCGCCGTCGCGCGCGGGCAAGCGTCGCGCCCCGCGGCGCGCGAAGGCCCCGCTGCTGATGTCCGGCTTGCCCTTGCCGAAGACATCCTCTAAGCACATGCGTAATTTGGCCTTCTCGTGGGGCAGTCCTGTTTCTTTGATCTGATGAGCGTGGGGGCAGCATTGCGAGTTCTGCATCTTGATGTCTGGCGATGAACTCGCTGCCGTCCAGTGTGGCTTGGTGCATGTTGTGAATGATCTTGGTGAATTGAACGGACCAGCATCTCGGGGCGCCCTTGCAGCCCGTGCCTCGTTTCTTAATGTGGAGGACCTCGCGTGCTCGGTCAAGGTCTCTATGCCATCTTACCTTTCGTAGAACTGCGACGGCGTCGAGGGATAACACTGCATTAACATCGCGCTCCTCCTGGCCCGTAGCCTCCGCGCATGCCTGGTAGCTGGCTCATGTCCAGAAGGCCTTCTTGACGCCCCTCGCATCGATCGTCCATCCTCGGCAGGCCGCCTCAGATGCGATCGCTCGTTGCGAGGCTCGTGATGAGGTGCCGGCGTATCTGGTTATGAGATCAGCGTTTACGTCCTTACGCCTCGGAGTGTCAAACTCGCGCCGATGATCCACATCTTTCGTGCAGGGTCTATTTTGCTACGTGTCCGCCTCCACTTGCCCGCCCATGTGCAATCAAAGATGTTGCATGCTCCACGGCGCGGGCGCCGTCAGAAAAAAACATATGCTCCACCCATGCATGGAGCTCCTCGTGCACCGCGGTTGCCTCTGCTGCTGTGCGCTCTCGGAACTCTTCGGGGGTGAGTAGGTCGGTTTCACGTTCAAGCGCGGCCTTCTTGCACCCTGGCGCGTAGACCCGGAGGCGTGCAGATTGTCCATCTGGGACGGGATGGTCAAGAATAGATGTGTGCATTTCGTCTGGGGCTAACGTTTCCACGTACATATCACCGTTGCACATCCGCAGTTGCAGTTCGAGCGCCACCGTCCGGGAAGGAGTGCACCCGGACGTCAAGCTATGTCCACGTCGCACAGGTCCGAGAACCAAGAAGACGTCCAATATCACGTCCATCGCGCCGCCATCGGAGTCCGTCCCGTGGAATTCCGGGACGTGCACCTCAACGTCGAGGACCGCTTTGGCCTTGACAAAAAAAACCGGCGATCGCGAGCTTGAGGTCGTTATGCCGCCGTACCTGGAAAAGGGCCAATCAGGCAGCGGACCGCGTGCAGATCGCCGATGTCCAGTTGCCGCCCGCACGGCCGTAGACGCCTCGGGCCACCACAATACCAGCGAACGTACGCCTGGCCAGTCTCCAGGACGGGTGCCCCCAATCGCCTCCTCGCGGCAGGCAGCCAGCAACGGTTTTCGATCCACGCTGACGATGGTGCTGGCGCTGCTGACCACCAGAGGCCCGCCTCCATGCCGCCTCTCTCCAGCAGATTGGCGGCAGGCTCTGGAGGCAGCGCGGCCACGAGGTCGGCGGCCCGACTCGCCGCAAGCCCACGGCCCAACCTCCCCGCGAGTCGTCGCCTGCCTCCGCCCCTCTCTACGTCCCCGACGTCGGTCCCCAGGACGAAAGTAGCGAGGACGGAGCGGTCAGGATCCACAGCCTGCGCTTGCGCATCCTCTGCGTCGTGCGCGAAGATGAAGAGCTCCTGCGGTGGCAAGTACCTGGCCCAAGGCGACGCCGTGTACCTGGCCGCCGCACCCGGCTCCACTTGATTCGGCCAGCGCCCACCACGATGCCGCTTGCGGCGAGGACGCCCTTGGCCTCGCACGCGGCCTGTCTGTCGGGGTCCTCCTGGCACGGCGGCCCGACCTGCAATGGATCCGCTGCGGCAGCAACCCAGCTACTCCAGAAACTGGCCGCGGCGTCGGCGACGAGCGGCATGTTCAGAGCAAAGCCCCCAAAGAAAATGGGTTGCGCGAGCTGCACTGCCATCCCCGCCGTGAGCGTCGTGCCAAGGATGGTCGCAGCAGCGCTCGCGATCTCGGCGCAGAACCCCTCCAATACTTGGACTGATAGCGCCCACGAGGGGCACATACGAATATCATAATATGAGAGTTGAAATATCCCAAACACTAAAATCGCCCATGCGGTCAGCCGCATGATGCTGCTGATGATGAGAAGGAGAAGGAGAAGGAGAAGGAGAAGGAGAAGGAGAAGGAGGAGGAGGAGGAGGAGGAGGAGGAGGAGGAGGAGGAGGAGGAGCGGGAACAGGAGCAGGAGCAGGAGCAAGAGCAGGAGGAAGCGGGTGAAACCACGGGCAGGGGCTCAATGCAGCATCCAAGATAAACGGAGGGGGGGGAGGGGGGCCAGATCGAGGAGGAGAGGGAGGAGGGGGCGCACGAGGGCAAGGAGTTCGAACTATTGCCAGGGGGCGTGGTAGTGGTGCACAGTACCAACTCCTCTTCCCAGCGAGCGCGTGCAAGCAGGAGGGGGGGTAGCAAGGCAGTGGAGGCGGATGGGAGCAGGAAGGGAAAGGAGGAGGGGGGGATGATGAGCAGGAATATGGGGAGAAATAGCAGCAGCGTCAGGAGCGTGGCAGTGGGCGGGATGGGGATTGGAGCCGCGAGCGAGGTGGGGCCCCTGATGTTGCCGCCCGGGGGCCTAGGTCTGGCAGGCACATGATCGCGTCCGCCTTGAAGCTCTCCAGCACCTTGGCAGCAGCTTCTGTGCTGCTCAGGCTCGCGAGCCCGAATCCAAACTCCACGCACCGGGAGGCGAAGCTGGGGCATGGAACGCCCGAGGCGATGAGGCCGAGCACCTCGACGTCGTGCCTGCCGGCGAGCTTGTGCAGGCACGTAGCCGCGGAGTCATCCTCTGCATAGATCGCAATGCGCATCTCGGAGCTGTCTTCACCGCGACTTTGGTTGGGCGAGCCACGAGAGGACCGCCGAAGGGGGGCAGCAGGCTGTGAGGGTGCGCCACTGTAAATCAACCAGCTGATCCCGTCGCCTGTAAGCCGAGATGTCAGATAAGGCATGGCCATTGCACTCCTCCTCATGAAACGATCCTGCCTGCTCCCTCAGACTTGCGGGTGAGTCCAGCTAGCGTCCAGGCTCACGCCTGACAGTGCATCCAAGCCAATCTGCAAGCATGTGTTGTGCACGTTTCTTTTGGGACTGTAACTTGCAGACGCACCTTCTGCACACCTCTTGACGTGGTACTCCTCCTGCTGATTTGAAGACCGTCTCTAGCGAGAGAGAGAGAGAGACAGAGAGAGAGAGAGAGAGACGCAGTGGAGAGACTGAGGCGAGCCACTCTTGAAAGGAGCGAGCACCACTCATGTCTCTGACGTGCTGTTATTTCACGAGTTGGGCCCCTTGACTTCTCGATAGCAGTCCTGGGACCGATTAGTCGTCGCGGTTTTTGACGGCCCGAGCGTCCGAACAAAAATCCTCTCGAGGCCCAAATTTAGTTAGTAAGAACCAGCCGCCGTCTTCTCATGACGCAGGAGGCCTGGCCAGCGTCAAGACAAGAGCACGGCCGAAGGAACCGGAAGAGAAGCTCAGAAAGCGGGGTGGGGGGCGCGAGAGGCAAATGGGCGACGAACATAAGGATTTCTTACGCAATTTGACAGGGCGGCCTTACGCCGCGGCTTATGCGGGCCGCCAACGTGACACGCTATACCTTTGAGACAAGTGCGCTGACGCGCGGCCTTACGCGGGAAACTTACGCGCACATGTCGGTGAAGACGAACCCGTGTTCCTTCGTCGCTCAAATGTGGAGGGGCCATATAGCCGCTTCTCCTCCTCGTCCCTCCGCCTCCTCCTCCTCCTTCATCGAGTTTCCTCACGTGCAACAGCTCCTCCGGTTGCATCCCCAAGCGCGTCGGTAGAGCGGGCCCAGCGCTTCGCCTGAGGCATCCTCACCATTTATGATCCTGGAGCTTGAGATTTGCAACCGTTTCACAGATGGATGAGGTGGCCTTCAAAATGTTGCTCCTGCCCCAACGCTGAGCACATTATGTTTGAAAGCTTGCGACAACTTCACGGTTGGAGGGCCATGCTGTTCAAATCTGGCTCTCGCCTCAACGCCGTGCACATTCGCCTTAAAATGCTGCAGCAATTCCATGGCTGATGGGTGTGTGTGTCGAGATTTGGCTCTCGTCTCAGCGCCGCGCACGCTCGTCTGAAAAGATTGCGGCACGCGATTTATCATCAACGTGTGGCTCTCGCCTAAGCGCCGCTTGTACTCGTCTGAGACATGTGCAGCAGCTTCGCGGCTGGAGGGGGGGGGGGGGGCGTTCTCAAGATGCGGCTCTCGCCTCCGCGCCGCGCGCCTTCGTCCCAGATGCAGGGGGGGTATTTTTCAGAAGGTGGCTCTCGCCTCGGCGTTCGCGCGCTCGTCTTAATACTTGCCATAGCGTCGCGAACGTCAGGGGGGGTCATTTAAATCATGGTGCTCTCGACCTAGTGGCGCGCGCATTCGTCTTAAAAATTCGCACTCGTATCACTGATGGATGGCTAATCCTTTTTACGTGGGGCTCCCGCCTTGACGCTACGAATAGATGTCCAAAACCTTGGTACTATTTGCAATATTGATCACTGGTCATCTTTAAAATAGGGTTCTCGCCTCAGCGCCGCGCGATTGGTCATGCAGCGTTTGATCTGATGGAATACTGATCTTTTCCAACATCGAATTATTGCAGGAAGTTTCGTTGTTTTAGCGCCTCGAACTTCAACGCACGTAGCGTTGCATGGATCCACGGCGGCTCTTTGAATAACTGGAGCTGTCGCTTGAGACTTCCCCGAAGCTCATGACCACACGTGTAGTCTGATGCAACGATTGCACGAAGGGGGGAGAGGCGGTCCTTCTTCGAACGGGTGATCTAGCTTGAAGCCGCGT